CACACACACACACACACACACACACACATACACACACACACACACACAGGCTGAAAATACTTCCCCTTCATAAGCTCCTTCTCCCACACTCCCTCGCCCCCAGCCCAGACCCCGGGGTGGGTCTCCGAGCCATTTCCAGCAGCGCCCACACAGAGTGGTCCGTGCTGAGACTTGCCCCAACCTGGGCAGGGAGCCAGGACATCCAACCTGAGCCCTGTCCTCAACGGGGCCCCAGTGGAGTTGCTGTCGGCACCCTCCTCCGGCCCCCCCTGGAGGGGAGAACTACCCAGGAACTCTCACAACACAAGGCCCGGAGTGGAGGCCTCCGGTCAGGGCTGTAGCTGGCAGTGCTGGGAGCAGCCACTCAGGCCACATTCGCTGAGGCTCTGCCCTGTGCAGGCAGCTCCCTGCCCTGGCTCTGGCCTGGGGTGGGGGCCGTCCTTGCTCCCTGCCCTGGCTCTGGCCTGGGGTGGGGGTCCTCCTCCTGGATACACACACACACACACACACACTGGTGACAAGGCTCCTTCCCAGCTCCTCCTCAGCCCCCACCCAGCTTTGCTGCTCACCTGCCCATCCACCCCACTCCCAGTTTCCACGGCCCGTGCTCAGTCGAAGCAGGTGCGCGCATGTGTGAGCCCCACGGTGAGGGGCCATCCGAGACCTCTGCCCCAAACTCCGGGCCTGCGGCTCTCCTGGGGAGAGGCCCCTGGGCAAGACCCAAACCTGGTGGCAGCAGGGCAAGGGTGGGCCACTTCCTGCCAGGGCATCCCAGAAACTGCCAGGCTCCTCCACACGCCCTTCGGTGCCCCTTTCTCTGCCATCTAGTGTGCGGGCATCCCTGCCTGCTGCCCAGCCCCATACCTGGGCTCAGGCACATGAGCAGAAGGTGGAAGGCTCCTTGAACTCCCATGTCTCGAGGTTCGGTGTCTCCTCCGCCTGGGCTGCGTATCCCTGGGCCGGCGGCAGTGGGGCTGGTGGTAGTGCGTGTGTAGGGATGGGTGGAGGGAGGGGGGGATGAGGGCCCAGACACTGCCCCGGGGTGGTAGGAAGGTGCACTGAGGGCCTGGCTGGGGAGCAGCCAGAGTTATTTCTATGAAGGGAGAGGGCCAGGTCCCCGCCTTGGGGAGGAGTCCCCAAAACCCTAATTATCGGGGTGACAGAGTGGCCTATCCAGGCATTACCCAGCCATCACCCAAGCTCTTCCCTATCCAGAGAGTGGGGCAGGGCTGCCAGTGGGACTTGTAATTAGGCACCTGTTAAACTTCCACTTCCTCCTGGCCCCGTCCTCAGTGGCAATAGTCACCCCCTTTTATGGCATCCGTGGAGCTCCCCTCACCACTCGGGTTTGTTACCTTCTTCCCCAGGGGACAATGGAAGAGGAAGGAAAAGCCAGGCTTGGGGAGGAGGGTGTCCGGGCTTGAAGGATTAGCACTGACCTCAGGGCAGAGGGGTCTGACACACTTTCCAAATCCTGCTCCTTCCTATCCCTGATCCTCTGAAGGGGTCTGTGGGGAGGGGCACCAAGGGAGGGGTCACTAGGGCTGGAGGGAAGGCCCAGGCAGGTGAAAGGGACCCAGGGATATCCGGTCCGCCTCCCACCTGAGGCCTCTGGCCCCTCTAAGAGTCAGCCCTACTGAGCTCAACGAGAGAGGGAAGAGGTGAGTTTGGGATCAGGGTCTTCCCCTGGCTGCCCCCTCTGTGCCACCAAACAATACCTGAATGCAAGGTCATCCTTGAATGTAGGGGATCCCTAGGAGCTGGGGGTGTTATAGGGATCCAGCCCAAACTCCCACACAGAACTAAAACCAGTTCGGTGAGGCCCGAGGGGAGAAGGGCCAGGGTGTGTGGAGGGAGCCCAGCAAGAGAATGGGTTAGTGGGGGGATGCTGGGGAGAACAGCACCAAGAGGGCCAGGGAAGGGGTGTGCCTGTGTGTACACTCACTGGCATGTGCCACGTCTCTACTGAGGAGGGCTAAGCCCCCGTGTGCACTTCTTTGGGGGACTGTTTGGTGTTCTTGCTTCTGTGCACAGGGAGGGAGACCAAGGACCCTCATAACCTGGCCTGCTCATCAGGGCGACTGAGACGACAAGGTGGACAAGTTGGAGCTGGATGGGAGGGTCCTGGTGGGCTGAGGAAGTGGAGGGGCCACCCTTGCTGGTTGATCCAGGGGCGTCCCAGAATAGGCCTTGGGCCTCCCATGGGCGTCAGGAGAGGTGGGTCAGGTCATGAGTGGCCCCATTCAACAGCCCACCCTCCTCCCTGCCAGGGCACAAGAAGGAGGGGAGAAGTCATGGGGAGAGTGATGAGACAGGGGTACTGCCAGGGCCGACCCCTCCAGGAAAAATGAGACAGAACAATAAGGAAGCACAAGATCTCATACGTTGCTGTGCTCCAAACCCCTCCACCCACACCCCCAACAATAACAGGGTGCTCTGAGACCCACCAGATGTACACAATGAATATCCTCATTTCCTTATTTATTTTGAGGTTTATAGGATTGCCCTGCACACTCTGCAAAGCAGGGATCATTATCCCACTTTAAAAATGTGGAACAGAGGCCTGGAGACACATGAAGATTCAGCCCAGTTGATGCTGCTAGGACCTGACCAGGTCGGGGACACCCAGGCATCACGATTCTCGATCCAGAGTGGTCCAAGAAGGGGCTTGGTGGCCCCATGGGTTACTAGACTGGCCCCTGGAGACAAAGCATGGAAGGTCAGTGATGGGGAGAGGGGTGAGCAGGTGGGGCCGGGAAGAGGGAGACTGAAAAGAAAGGAGTAAGGCTGTCACTCCATTAAACTGAAGTGCAGGTTTGGAGTTTAATTGGGTTCTGATTTCAGCTAATGTTAGAGTTGGGATGAAGGTTGGACGAAGGTTGGGGTGAAGGTTGGGGTTAATTGGAATTATGAGGCTGAGGTCAGATTTGAGGTTGAGATGGTAATTAAGGTTGAGATGAGGGTGAGCATAACAGCCAGAGCGGAGGCTAGGGTTGATGGCTGGGATCCATGCTATGATACAGAACAGGGTTTTCGTTTCCTTTACAGCTATACTTGAAATGCAATCAAAGGGTGGGTGGAGATTGATGTAGAATTGGGATTACAGCCGGATTAGAATTGAGTTTTGAATTTGAATTAGAATAGACTGTGGTTAGGGTTAGAATATGCGTTAAAGTGATATGGGCAGGAAGATGCATTAGGTTTTATTTATGACACAGAAAGACCTCAGCCTCCACCTGCTAAAGCCAAGTTGGGCTAGAATTTTTATCCCTGTGCTCTGGGAGAATGCCGATGGCACATGTTGACTGGGGACCGGAGATTTGGGGGAGAATTACAAATATACATGAGCCCATCTGATGGGTATGAAGCAACTTCATCCAATGATTTGTAACCTCTGAAGTCCTGCTCCGCGACCTCAGCTCACCACCTATAAAGCTCCCAGCAGTCATCTGGGGAGGGGATACAGGATGCCATTTTCAATGAGGGGGGCTCTCACACCACATTGAACCAGCAGATGGGGTCTATCAGAAGTAGGTTTACTGGGGCGGGGGGCTGGGGGGGGGTCCTGGTTTTGGAGTCTAAGAGACAGGAGTTGGGGAAGACTGAGGGCTGAGGTGCTCCTAGGAGAACAGGCACTTTTGAGGGTACCATGCAGGGACCCCTCCAAGCCTCAAAGGGCAAGACACATTTTTGCTCTCCTCTGACCCACTGAGGGCTAATTGCCACCTCCTTGCAATTTGGGGCCCATAAAAGAAGCTGTCAGCCTTCCTGCCTTGTGCCCTGAGCCCTGCTTGGCTGGGGGCGGGGGGCGGGGGGGAGGAGTGGTGAAGTGAGGGCACTGAGTATCAGTTTAGTTTAGGTCTAGCCCCGTGGTCAGCAAACTGCAGCTCACAAGCCACATGCGGCTCTTTGGCCCCTTGAGTGTGGCTCTTCCTAAGCCTGAGGAGTACCCTAATTAAGTTAATAACAATGTACCTACCTATATCGTTTAAGTTTAAAAAATTTGGCTCAAAAGAAATTTCAATCGTTGTACTGTTGATATTTGGCTCTGTTGACTAATGAGTTTGCCGACCACTGGTCTAGCCCATGGCCCCCTCCCTCTGGAACCATCCCACAGCCCAGGTTTGTCTCTGAGCTTCATCTTCAGTAGAGGAAGAGGGCCCGCTCCTGAAGGACCCCTACCCCAAGTCCTCTCTCTCCTTTTCCCCAACCTGGTCTCCACCCAAACATCCTATTCCCCCAATACTTCCTTTTTAGGTCCCATAAAGGTCTGAACAGAATCTGGAGACTCCTGGGGGGTTCCCTCTGTGCCCCCAAGAGAGACAGTGATTACTAAGAAGCAGAGGACACTGGTGGCACCCAATGACTCATCTAGGGTCCTGAGAGAAAGGCAGGAGGCAGAAGGCCAGGCTGTGACCTCGGGCCCAACACACAAATTTCCAAAAAAGGTCCCTTGCTTTTCCCTGAGAAATTTAGAGCTGTCCAGGGGAGAATGGCCCCTCTTATTTGCATACCCCACGGTTTGGGTTGTATTTGCTTCTATTCTAAGACAGAAACAGAAACTCAAGGACAGAGACTTAGAAAGCAATGAACAGAGACAGAGGAGGAGGGAAGAGGCCGGTCAAGGACCCATAGAAGCCCAGAGACTGTTTCTGAAATGAGGCACAGCCTGACCACAGAACATCTGGGGGAAGGACAGGAGGAAGGCTTGGTCCACCTACTCTTCCTCCAAAGTGCCCTTCACAGCAACTTGGCACAACCCCTGTAGGCCCCGCCCCCACCTGCTCAGACTGTCCCTCCAACTCCTCTCCCAGACCCCCTGAGCTCAGGCTCAAGTTCCCATCTCCTCTCCAGCCCCCATCCCCTCCCTCTGCAATTTGACCCTTTTTTTTTCTTTTCCACATATATTTTCATTGATTTCAGAGAGGAAGGGGGAGGGCGAGAGAGAGATAGAAACACCAGTGATGG